CCCCCACAGCTTCCTACTTGTTGAAACCGACCTCTAAGCGCAGGGACTAGCAGAGGCCTGGAGGGGAGAGGAAAGGGGCTGGTTGCAGCCCCCACCCCACCCCCCAGGAGCCCCTCAACCCCCTTGCCTGGGAGCCTTGGGGAAGTGCCGGCAAGTGCCCCTCCTGGGGCTGGAGCTGCGGGGGGGGGGGGGGGGAGGTTGGTTGGGTTCAGCTCTCCGCTTCCCCTCCCCCTGGCATCCCTGGGGCGGTGGGCAGGGACTCGGGGGCACCTTCTGGGCTCCCCCTCCGCCCTGGCAGGGGGGGACCCCTCCTCTCTCTGACCCAGACCCTCCTCCCGGGGAAAGCCCCAGTTTCCCCTCCGTTCTGGCAGCTGGCCCTGGGATTCCTTCGGCCGCTGGGGGGGGGGGGGGGGGGGGGGGGCTTAAAGGGTGCCCGGCCGGGGGGGGGGGGGGGGCTGCCCCGTCCCCCCCAAGCGTGGCCCGGACCCCCCCCCCCATTGGTGGGAGCCTGTCCTGGCCCGGAGCGAGCAGGGTGTGCAAGGCCCGTGGGGAGGGGCCCCCACTCCGTGTCCCGCCCCAGAGGCTGCCCCGGGGTGCTTCCCGTGGCTCCAGCTGGGCCGGACTGGGGGGCCTTTGGAGGCTCTGGGTGCCCCCCTCGCCCTGGCTCTCCCTGGGCTGCTGCCCCTCCCGCTCCAAGGGCTTCTCCCCCCCCCCCCGGGGGGGGGGGGGGCGGGGGGGGGGGAGGCCCACAGGGCCTCTCGGGGAATCCCAGGCGGGGGGGGCAGAGCCTGGACCAGCCCCTCTTTCTCCCGCCCGTCAGGGGGACGTCGAACAGGGACAGGGCCGGCCTTTGTGGCCCAGCCGAGAAAGGCCCCCTCCCCCGTTTCCGTCTTGACCGCTTTCTCTGCTGGCAGCACAAAGGCCTCCGACGGGCGTCCCTCCCCGCCTTGCCCTGACCCTCCGCCTGCCCCCTCCACCCCCCATCTGGTTTCCAGCCTGGGAGGGAGGGGCGGGGGGGGAGGGCGCTGCCCATCAATCTCCCTGCTGGTGATGGATGGGGGTCCTGCCTCCACCCCCCCCCTTTGGCCTTTTCCTCTGGGCCGAGCCCAAGGGGGGCCTTCCTGTCACGCAGCCATTCAGATCGCTCCACTCCAGGGGTCCTCCCTGTGGCGCAGCAGCCAAGGCAGGGTCCCAGGGAGGGGGGTCTCGGCTGGTGGTCCTGGGGGGATTGGCGGTTGAGGGCCTGCAGCCTCCCTGGGTGCCTTTAACAGGGGTTTCGTGGGTGCCCCCGTCTTCCTGGAGGGCATTTCAGCTGCACCCCCTGCCCACTTCGCTTGGGGAAAGGGCCGAGGACACTCAAAGGCCTGGAGACTATGTGAAGAACGGTTGCAGGGCCTGGAGAGTTTGGCTGGCCTAGGGAAGGGAAGGACCAGGAGAGCATCTCCCGGTATTCGAGGGGCTGCCCCAGAGAGGAGGAGGAGGGGGCTCCAAAGCGCCTGAAGGCAGGAGGAGAAACAACAGGGTCGTCCAGGGGAGAAGAAACTTCCTAACTGGGAGGACGATTATCCGGCTTCGTCTTCAGGGGATGTGGGAGCTGCATCCCTGGAGGTTTTTAAGAAGAGACCGGACAGCCACTGGAGTCAAGTAGTGTAGGGTCTAGAAGACCTCCAGGGTCCCTCCCAGCTGTATTCTGACGGATTGGTCCTGAGGGCCAAGATGCCCACGGCTGCATTTTGCGAGGCCCGGCTGGTGCCCCCGGCTGATCCCGAAGGCCCCTTCCCACCGTGAGCGGAGCAGCCCCCCTCGGCCCCGTGGGGCAGGGTCTCCCTGTGTGTTCAGACCCTCATTACAGCTCAATTAGCCTGTGGCTGAGCCCGGATCAGCGGATTAATGCCCAGGAGGCGAGTGGCCCACGGATGCCGTTTCATGTGGGGGACAAAGCGGGGCTGCAGGGATGAAAGGCCCTCTGAAGCCGCTGAATGGCAGCCTTGGGAGGGAGGATTATGGGGATATCCGTGACCCGGGGAGGGCCTGGGACGGCTCATCTCTTGAGCAAACACCCAGTCAATGGCGGGAGCCGGGCATTCGGCTGCTGCGGGGGCCTGCGCCTTGTGGCTGGGACGGGGGCTTGGTGCCTCGGGGGGGGGGGGGGGGGGG